TGTAACAGATGTATATGTTACAAAATGAAAAAGGTGCAAAAGAGTATAAAAAGGTATACAGTGAAGATAAGTCTCCCTCCCACTCTTGTTTCCTTCTTTCCATCCCAGAGGCTACCAGTGTTACCAGGTTCTTGGTGACACTGTACATTTTTTCGGAGAGTGTCTGTACATTTATAATCATATACATACATATGCATGTACATATCAAACCTTTTTTTTTTTTTTTTGAGACAGAGTCTCAGCCTCCCAAGTAGCTGGGACTACATATATATATATATAGTTGGCCAATTAATTTCTTTCTATTTATAGTAGAGACGGGGTCTTGCTCTTGCTCAGGTTGGTTTCAAACTCCTGAACTCAAACGATCGGCCTGCCTCGGTCTCCCAGAGAGCTAGGATTACAGGCGTGAGCCACCGCACCTGGCCCATATCAAACCATTTTTAAGACTAATGTTAGTATAGGATTCACATTCTTCTGATTTTTTCTTTTACTTTTTTGAGACAGGGACTCTCTGTGCTGCCCAGGCACAAAGTGCAGTTGAGTGATCACAGCTCACTGTAGTCTCAAACTTCTGGGCTCAGGCAATCCTCCTGCCTCAGTCTTTCCAATGGAAAACCACAATCTGTTACTCAATTTTCAGACCTCAGACAGTTCTTGGACCCAGAATCCATGGATTAAAGGAAAAGCCAGGTCCACGAGGAAGGTAATACCGCAGCAAGCATCAACAGGAATGACTGCCCCGTCCTTCCTCAAAGAGACCTGCAGCCATTCAGTCCAATAACTATTACACATAGCAGGGAAAGAAGAATATTCAGATCTTTCAAAGGCTGTCAGAAGCAGGGTCCAGGTTGACAGCGATCCCAGAGCACCACCACAGCCTCCCTCTTAGAGGAGGATCACATGAGGTCCGGTAATAAATGAAGGCCTAGCATAGGTTGGTCAAACAGTGGCTCACTTCTCAATTCATCTACTTGGTGGTGGTTTCCTCCGTTCTGGGACATACTTAGCAGCTAGCAGAGCTCTCATATTAGTTCCTTGACCTACAGAGAGCTAGTGTAGTAGAAAAGGTCAAGTAGAAGTGCCTAAAACTGTCCCCTATCATCTCTGGCCAAAGTGGTGAATAAAAAACAATACGGCATCCCAGAGAGAATGGCAGAGGTTACTGCCATCTGCAAATACTTAAAGAACGCAAGGGTCATGGTCCCCATTTAATAATCTGGTCTTACCCCTGCAAAAGCTGGATGGGTCATGGCAGACGACAGCAGACTAATACAAACTTAGCCAAGCAGTTATCCAAACTGTAGCTGCTGTGTTGCTATACATAAAGGATACTGGACAATACAATTACAGGTATTTCATTTGCATTCTTCACAATTTTAGCCCAAAATATATAAGCAGTGAATCAGCACTATATGGTCAGTAAAAATAAACATGTGAACTCAACTAATAAATAGAACAGAAAAACAGGAAGAACACAAAAAAATGATATAAACTTAAATTAGACATAAAGTCATCTAATATATATGTAAATGCCTACACATGCTTTGGAAGAGAATGAAGCATGATAAAAATAGTTGAAGTTGTCAATGAACAGGATTTTTCATTTTTATATTAACTATGCAAAAAAATTATTATTATTATTTTGAGACAGAGTCTCACTCTGTTGCCCAGGCTAGAGTGCCGTGGCATCAGCCTAGCCCATAGCAACCTCACACTCCTGGGCTCAAGCGATCCTCCTGCCTCAGCCTCCCGAGTAGCTGGGACTACAGGCATGTGCCACCATGCCCGGCTAATTTTTTCTATATATTTTTAATTGTCCAATCAATTTCTTTCTATTTTTAGTAGAGACGGGGTCTCACTCTTGCTCAGGCTGGTCTGGAACTCCTGAGCTCAAACGTTCTGCCTGCCTTGGCCTCCCAGAGTGCTAGCAAAAATATTATTTTTAAGAAGACCCAAACTACAGAATTCCATAAAGTATAGAAAGTATCCTGAAAGCTTTGAATAAGGGCCAAGGAAATCTGGTTAGTTTAGAACTTCAGGTTGATACCAAGTTTTTATAAAGAATGAAATAAAGTTAGATAGACACTCATTTGAAAATACAATAAAGTAGAAGAAAGGAAAATGTGCTTTTGGAGTTGCAAATGATCCATTTATATATGAATTTCTTAGGAACTCTGAGCACTTAACCATAAAGCAAAAGGCCAATAATGTCTCTAAATGACTGCAGCCCAACTTCTAGCTAGAAGAGGTAGGCTGAGAAAAGAATAAAACTCCTACTTTCTCATGCAGCTTCTTCTGGATTCTTTTTTGGCATAAAAATTGGAAGCTCTTGAAGTGGTGGATATCTCAAGATGTTGTTATACTTTGCTGCAGCTGGAAAAAAAGTTTTCCTTCAATTCCTACAGCTTTATGAAATACAAATTATTTTCATAGCTTTGTCAGCATTTGCAAATTCTAACCAAATGTCCTCTAATATAATAAAAAAAAAATACTTTCTGGGCCCCAGCACTCTTTCCCTGGAAGTGCTCTCAGCTTTCCAATCACCTGAGCTAGCAAATAAGTATTAAAAGCAAGACTCGCTTTCCATCGCCTCTCCCAAGAGCTGGCTATACAGGCTCCAACTGTTTCTGCAACGTCAGTGAAGACATGAACCTGGGGACGGAGAGCGCTGGCTGATCTCCAACACCACCCACCCATCCCCAGTTCTGATATGGCCACGTGGTCAGAGTTCATCCTGCAACTTCTGAAGCCACAGAGAAGAGGAGGGCCTCTTTCCCACTGCAATTGCTGCTCTAAGGGTTTACCACACAAGGAGAGCCGACCTGGGAGTGGAGCCAAAAAAAAGGGAAGCACTGTTGAGAAATGGAGAACTGGGTCTAGGAGACTTGATCCAATTAAGGCTAAAGCTGGCACTACCTTAAACAATAGATGTTTACTTTCTCATAAAAGAGCAGCACTGAAAAAGGCAGCTCTAGGGTTATCAATTCAACAAAACAACAATGCAATCAAGAATCTGGGCTTCCCATCTGTCCCCTTGGCTATCCTTAGCATTCCAGCTTTTGTCTTTGAGACTTAGTGGTTGCAAGATGGCTACCAGTGCTCCAGGCATCACACTCTCATTCAGCAGCATCAAAGGAAGCAAGGAGAAATTTCTCGTTTCTATCATAGAGGAAAACATTTTCTAGGACCCATGGCCCCAGCAGACTTTCACTTGGTGTCACTGGCCAGAACACCACCTCGGTGTCCCCACCCCCTCAACCACTCACAGGCCAAGGAGAGTGGAACTACATAATAGCAAGGACCAACCATAACTTGGAGGGACTTACTTGAGTGCACTATGGCAAGACACCTAGCCAAAGGTAAGGTTCTGTTTTCAAGGAAAAAGAGGGAAATGACTCTTGGGGAGGCAACCAAGAGTACTGGGCTTGTATTAGGCTATAAGTCCTAGTATAAGCACTGGCGTCCAGTGAGCTGTAGTTACCCAAATAGAGAGACAGTGAAGAACTTAACATTGCAAATCAAATTATAAGACCTATCCTTTTAATTTTCATGTGTACAATACCTAAATACATACCAATTATAATTTTCATTCTTAAGAAACTATGAAACTTCAAATTCCTTGGAGTGGTTTTTCAAGCCTTTACTGAATGTCCCAGAATAATGGATATTAGCTATGTAGCTTATTTTCATGCCTAATAGCAGAATGGAATGTTAATGAGCAAGCCTCCTGTTTCTTAGAGCTTTAAGATTATCTTGTTAGCTAAGGTTCTTAGACTCTGCCAAGATATATAGCTAAAGAACCTGCTAAAGAGTGATAAGGAACTCTTTGAGTAAAACTGTTTCTAACTCTGTACTGAAGATCAGTAATACTCAGTGGTGCCTGTTCCTTAAAATATGGCATCGCCTGGAGGTTTTGAGGCTTAAATGAGGTGGCAATGTGAAAGTTCATAGGGCACAATCTGGAACTTAGTAGTATTGTGAAGTGCAGGAAAAACACAGGAGGGTCTGAGCCAGGATGATAGGAACTCAGGTGTTGATGGGGGGAAGGGGACGCTAGGGGACAGAGTCTGAATGTTCATTTCCAAAGCTAACCTAAGCCATAGCTACACTGTGAAAGAATTATTACCCACTAAATAAGATCTACAAGGCAAAGAATATTAACTTATAAGGCATCAATGGTAATCAGGAAAAATTAAATAACATCAGCAAGCAAGTGAAAACTAGTTAAAGTAACTACAATATACTAAACCGATTAAAGTTTTGGCCCACAACCAAAATGTCTGTACTCTCATATTTTCTTGAAATAAAAAAAAAAAAGCAAGCTTTGGCTGATCTTAGTAAAACTTTATTTACTATGCCTTAAGCATCCCACCCACATTTTAGCCTTGAATTTAATACTTAATGAAATGTCCTTGCTTCTTTTTTTGCTAACCACTTCAATGAACATGCATGTGTGTTCACACCAGTTATTAACACTGATTCCTTTACTCCAACTAGAAGCTAATTATCTTAACAGTCAATTGCCACAAGAAACAAAAGAAAAATATAAATGGAATGGAATGCTCTCTGAAGACTCTCAATCTGACTGACATTAAGTGATCCATTTCTCCTTCCTAAACTGTAAAGTCAAAGTCCCTTCCGCCTATAAAATTTAATTCTATGAATTAAGTGTCAATTACTTGCCTTAGTTGAATTAGATGTCAGCCTAGCCTCATAGCAGACAGAGGTCAATGTATCCCAAGAGTAGTCATACCAGCAGAAGGGCCTAGAAAGCACCTTCAAGGTGTACAGATGGGCTTTTACATGACCTGTAGGAGGTTACCACCCTTCTTGAGTCTCAGTGTCCTCATCTGTAAAATGGTATCAGAACATCCTTGTAGCAGGATTAAGAATGATCAGGTATGTAATGGATCTCTTGAGGCTCCTGGCACTAAAGAGGCACTCAAAAAGTGGTAGTTATTGTTACTACTTCCATTGTGGGATCACCAATAAGCACTTACCTAAAGAAACAACAGCAACGCTCTCTGGCAAGAAATGTAATCTGTATCGGATCAGTAAATGCACCAATATGATGCAGATGGCTGTGAGAAAAAAATAAGACATTGTTTTAAAAAAAGCTCAATTTTGAATGACAAACACTAAGTTCAAGGCATTGGTTATTTCTGGGGAGCTGTCAGGAAAATGGACAGTTGGCAATGACACAGTGAACTTCAGTTGTTGTTGGTGTTGACTGATTTATGGAACAGGGTCTCACTCTGTTGCCCTGGCTACCATACAGTGGTGTCATCATAGCTCACAGCAACCGCAATCTCCCAAGCTCAAGCAATCCTCCTGCCTCAGCCTCCCGAGTAGCTGGGACTACAGGCCCTCACCACCACACCCGGATAATTGTTTCTATTTTTTGTAGAAATGGGTCTCCCCCTTGCTCAGGCTGGTCTCAAGCTCCTGAACTGGAGCGACCCTCCCTCCTTGCCTCGGCCTCCTGGAGCACAAGGATTACAGACATGATCCATTGAGCCTTCAGTTGTATTTTTAATGTCTTATTTTTTACCCTGGAGATAGACTAACAGTGTTTATTATACTTTTTCTATATGTTTTTGTATGCCTAAACTAGTTCATTTTCCAGTACTTACTGGAAGAGCAACAGAAATCTAAGTTTTTTATAAGCTGTTAAATCTTACACAACCATTTAAAATTATTCAAATTTTCCTGATTCTGAGAAATGGCCCTCAACTTTTTTGAAGTAGTCATTAATTGGGAAACTCTAAATGGTGAGGCGTAAGTCAATGAAATCAATCACTTTTACATAACCACAACTGCAGAAGATTATGTTGACACCAAGTACTTCGCCAAGATGTGAGTGGCTCTCTTTTAACATAGAAGTGAGGGTGTTTTACAAACAGGAAAAAGTAAATGCGTTGGTGACAACATCAAAGAGCTCTATGAGACACTCATGCTCCCTAGCTGGGTACAGCTGTGTCCTGCCGTGCCCACTGCTTGATGGCTCCCAAAAACCAGAAACTAAGCTGAGCACTTCCCAAACACTGTCACACTTAATCCCCCAATTCCCCTCTGACCTAGCTGTTATCATTATCTGCATTGATTATAGATGAGAAAACTGAGGCTTCAAGACATCTGGTAGGTTCTGCAGCACTGAGTCAGATTCCAGCTCTGCGCTCTTAACCACTACCTCTATCCTGGGTGGCCGCCTTCAACCTCCAAAATAGGAATGATGACCACCTTTCCTCGCAGGGGTGTTTTCATGAAAGAAGAGAAGAGGATGTAAAACTATCTGAAAAGAGTAAGTATTTCTGGACCCTCCTAAAATACCATACTTTTGCATAAATAATTCCTGAATGTAATTTCATAATCCAAATGTTAGCATGCAGGCCTCTTTCATTAGGCACCTGGGTGATAAACCATCTCATCAATCACAGTATTATTAGGTTATTAAGTATGAATTGTCTGATTTTCTTAAGTACTAAGTTTTTTGTTTTTTTTTTGAGACAGTCTCACTTTGTTTCCCAGGCTAGAGTGAGTGTCATGGCGTCAGCCTAGCTCACAGCAACCTCAAACTCCTGGGCTCAAGCAATCCTGCTGCCTCAGCGTCCCAAGTAGCTGGGACTACAGGCATGCACCACCATGCCCGGCTAATTTTTTCTATATATATTAGTTGGCCAATTAATTTATTTGTATTTATAATAGAGACGGGGTCTCGCTCTTGCTCAGGCTGGTTTCGAACTCCCGACCTCGAGCAATCCGCCCGCCTCAGCCTCCCAGAGAGCTAGGATTACAGGCGTGAGCCACCGCGCCCGGCTCAAATTAGATTTCTTTAATCCAACCAAAAAGCACCAGCTGGCCAGAATGTTGTAAATATAGAACTTTTGTCCTCCTTTCATTCTGTGCTTTAAACTATCAATCTGTGGTGTTATTTTAATATAAATATTTAACTTAGTTAGAAAATCCTCCATTAAATACTAAGAGCAAGAAAAAAGTTCTAATGCACAAGCACATGTGACTAACAAGCATGCCTATTGTCTGGAAAAAACAAAAAAAAAGGAGGCAAATGAGCATATATGTAGACAGAAAATAGACCAAGGAAGTTGAATCAGTTTCTGCTCTTCCCTTGCACCAAACCATATTTTTAAAAAATTAATGTAAAAAGTTGATTCTTATATATAAACAACTATTTGTAGCCTTAAGAGCAAAAGGGAAAACTATCTATTAATAGAAAGAGCTAAATATAAGGTTCATCGATGCCAGGTGATTGTCTTTAGCCATTAAAAAGAATAAAGTCTGAAAAGACAACCCACAGAATGAGAGAAAATATTTGCAAATCATGTATCTGATCAGGATTTAGTATCTGGAAAGATAAAAAGAAACTTAAAGCTTAACAACAAAGAGACAAACAAAATAATTCAAAAATGGACAAAGGACCTGAATAGACATCTCTAAAAAAAAGATATATAACACAAATGGCCAATAAGTACATGAAAAAGTGCTCAACATCAATAATCACTGTGGAAATGTAAATCAAAATACAATGAGATACAACTTCACAACCACCAGGATGGCTATAATTAAAAAAAAACAACACAAAAACAAGTGTTGGCAAGGATGTGGAAAAAAATGGAACCCTTATAACACAGTACAGCCTCTGTAGAAAACAGTTTCATAGTTCCTGAGAAAGACAGAGTAATATTTAACATAGCAATTTTACTCCTCGGTATATATCCAAGAGAAAAACATTTATTCACACAAAAATCTGTACACAAAATGTTCCCAGCAGCAGTATTAACAATAGCCAAAAGGTGGAAACAACCCAAATATCCATCAGCTGATGAATGAATAAACCTAATGTGCCATGTCCATACAGTAGAATATTACTCAGCCATAAAAAGGAATGTAATTCTATTATAACATATGCTACAACATGAATGAACCTTGAAGACATTATGCTAAGTATAAGAAGCCAGACACAAAAGACCACATATTATATTATTTCATGTATGTGAAATATTCTAAATAGGCAAATTCAGAAAGCAGAATAGAGGTGACCAGGGACTGGAGCAGGGAAAATGGGAAGTGACTGCTTTTTGTTGTTGTTGTTGTTATTTTATACTTCAAGATCACTAAAGATGTGACTACTTTTAATGCTTTCCTTTTGGGGTGATGAAAATGTTCTGAAACTAGACAGTAGTGATGGTCACACAACTGTACATTGTGAATGTACTAAATGCCAAAGTGTGTGAGTTACATACTTTGCAATGGTTAAAGTGGTAAATTTTGTTATGTGTATCTTCCTACAATAAAAAATGAGGTAGATATAAAAACCAGAAAGAAATTCTTTCTATAAAAAAAGAAAAAATTTCACATAGGTGGAGATACCAACTTATAAACTATCAAGAATCTAATTAGGTGAAAATGGGCCAGGCAGTGGCTCACAACTATAATCCTAGCACTCTTAGCACTCTGGGAGGCTGAGGCAGGTGGATTGCTCAAGGTCAGGAGTTCGAAACCAGCCTGAGCAAGACTGAGACCCTGTCTTTATTAAAAGTAGAAAGAAATTAATTGGCCAACTAAAAATATATAGAAAAAATTAGCCGGGTGTGGTGGCACATGCCTATAGTCCCAGCTACTCAGGAGGCTGAGACAGGAGGATAGCTTGAGCCCAGGAGTTTGAGGTTGCTGTGAGCTAGGCTGATGCCAGGGCACTCTAGCCCGGGCAACAGAGTAGAGTGAGACTCTGTCTCAAAAAAAAAAGAATCTGATTAGGTGAAAACAAAACCCACCTAACATTAGTGTGACTCTATAATCTAGCTTTATAATCTGTTTGAAGAGAATTAAATCCAAGAAAAATATACAGCACTATTAAATACAGTTCAGCCCTTTCTGGTCCCAAGATATAATGCTGGGCAGGATTTTGTCTAGTTTTAAAAGCACATTATAGAAACTTGTTTTGTGCTCTCTGGCACAGCTAATCTTAAATGTTCCACATCCTGAAAGTTTTTTGAAAGTCTTACTTATTATACTTTTCAACCTCCCTTTAAATAAGTGATTACAAGACTTTTTTCCAGGCCTGCCTTTTATATTCTTTAACATACCAAGCTGACAACAATGTAAATAGATTAATATGCTTTAATGCTAAAGGAAGACTTTAGCTACTAAAGATTTCTTAATCAAGAACTGCTTTTCCTCTTTGTAGTCAACAACTATAACAAAATAAAATGGAAAAAAACTAAAAAAGAATCCTTGATTATTGAAGTAATCTCTCAGAAATAGAATTCAACTATATTTATAGGGTAAAAAAATGACCAGGGTGTATGATATCTATATGGGACATGGTACACTTCTGGTATGTGTACTTTTTCAGTATTTGGTTTAAAGGTTTCTAAAAGTCTATGAAAGGCAAGGATGAGTCCTAGGATTACAAATAAAATCACTATATTATTAAAATCCTTTAACCACTTACCAGAGTATGAATATAAACATGAAAGAAGTTATTCTTTTCCTCAAAAAACAGTCCTAATGGACACTAGTTCCACCTTTCAACCTTCTGAAAAGATCTCATTAGAAATAAGACTTTGGTATCATTAAAGAAAAGCAGAAAATGTAAACGTGCCAACTTCACTTTCAAACAAGAGTTTGGACTTGGGTCAAACTCTAAGCTATTTCTTCCTTAGTCAGCTAATCAAAATCAGCTGTGTAGTTTCAACGGGATTTCTTTTGTCTAAAACAGTTGTCTACTGTCTACTGCCTCTGGGAGGCATTTCAGTTTTTGCCTTTTATCGAAACCTCTTAACTAATATCTGAAAACCTGGATATCAGACTCTAGTCTCCCACCATCCAAATATGTCCATCATGTGACCTCTCTGGGTCTAAATTTCCTTACCCATTAAAGGAGGAGATTGAATAAAATGAGATTTTAAATTTGATAGTTAATCCATTTAAACAGAAATATTACATAATAACAGTGCAGGTGACACATAGCTATGGCAAAAGCCATGATGACAGTTAATGAGGATAGAGGTTTAAGAAAACAGGGCGGTGGGGCTCTTTTACTCAGCAGCAAAACCTTTAATAAATAAAATTTTACATGGAAGCCTGATAAATATAATAGACAAAATGCTGCTATAGGCCAGGCACAGTGGCCCATGCCTGTAATACTAGCACTTTGGAAGACTGAGGCAGGAGGATTGCTTGAGGCCAGGAGTTCAAAACCAGCTTGAATAGGAGCAAGACCCCAACTCTATAAAAAAATAGAAAAATTAGCCAAGTGTGGTAGCACAAGCCTGTAGTCCCAGCTACTCAGGAGGCTGAGGCACGAGGATCGCTTGAGCCCAGAAGTTTGAGAGTGCAGTGAGCAACAAAGAGACCCCTGCACTCCAGCCTGGATGACAGAGTAAGACCTTGTCTAAAAAGAAAAATAAAATGCTGCTCTGGCTGAAGCTAGGGTCAGGAGGTTGGACGCCCTCCTATTTGACTCCCCCTACCTCCTGCCACCACCTACACACACACACACACACACACACACCTGTATGAGCAGAATTTGAAATCCACTAAACTAGATGATCAAGATTCTTTCTAGGTCAAAGATTCTTTAGTTCTTTCTTTCAAAGGCATCTAAGATATTACATTAAGACCTAGTCAGAATTGCTAAGTGGCATGATTTCATAAAAAAAAGGGGGGGTGGGGAGTATCCTGCTGAGATGTTGCGAACTAATCATTTTCTCCCTGTGTTTGAAGTGAAAACCAAATAGGAAGAAGACTAGACAAAGGAAACAGGGACGACAGGGTTAAGCACACAGAGCACACAGATACTCAAGAAGGCAGGGGACGGCAGCCAACAGTGTCTCATATTCACCCAGGACGAGGAGGCTGAAGAAGATGGTCATGCCGCTTGACTGCTCCTCTTGCTGTGCCTGCTCCCCCGTCTGCACAGGGAGGATGGGCTTGGCAGGGGTTGGCAGCACCAGTTTCGTCGTGACAACCAGTGTGGTGTGGAGGGTGACATTGAAACCCTCATGAGTTGTATTGGGGAACCTACTGGAGGACATAAAAAGAAGAATTAGATAAAGAAAAAAAGGGCCCAAAGTATCAATACACACACCTTAAACCAGAAAAGGAAGCTGGGAAAGAGCTTTATAGGATTTGCAAGTCTTGCAACTCACAGGTAGACCTCAGAGGAAAACTTATTAAGAAAACGCCTGCCTGCACAGCACGAGGGTGCCAGTGGCCTCAGGTGCTTTTGAATACAGTCACTTAGAGGACAAGGACAAGGGGGAATCAGGTCTGGTGTAGAAACAAAATGCTGCCTGCTCTCCTGACATTTAAAGGGAGATTTAAAGGCAGGCAAACTGGAGTTTCATCATGTTCCAGGGCCTGACTCTGTTTACTTATTTCTCCATTTATATTCTTTTCCTTAGATTATTTCCTCAAGTTGAAGAAGGTCCCTGAATTCGCCTAGTGGTTAATCTGGTCGGAATGTCCTACCATACCTTATAAAATCCTCAAATTTCAAAAGGTTTGAATATTACCTCCTCTGTAATATCCCACACCCCAATTTACCTACCCCACTGCTTTCATTCCCACAGCTCTCTCCTCATATTGTGCTGGGATTGTGAGCTAGTGCAATATTGATACAATAATAATTGTAACTGTGATTCTAACAGTTAATATTTATTGCACACTGCTTCATTCTAGGCACCAGATTAACACACCACCTCTTATTTAATAGGCATAACATGCTGGAGAAGGGTACTATTACTTTTCTTTTTTTTAACCACGAATAACTCAGGCTCAGAGAGTTTGCATAATTTGGCCAACATCTCAGTCAGTGGCAGAATCAAGCTTCAAATCCAAACTTCAAGCCACTGGGCCATGCTATCTCTTGTGCTTTGTATTGCTGAGGCCCAATTTAGTGTCTGGAACAAGCCAGATGCTCAATAAATAAGGTGACTACATGCAATGTCTCCGCCCCCAAACCTGGCTGGCCAAGAAACATGTCTGAAATGTTATCAGGTGAGGGAGTCCAGTATCAACCAAAGGGTTCCTTGTTAATCTCCACTCATTCCACAAACAGGGATAGGGCATCAATAACATACAAAAGAATGTACCCTGCAGGTATGTAAATGAACGTAACAGTTGTCCTTGTCCAGAAGTACCTGGAGGATACAGACCCCATACCATTCTCGCTGGCTACAACAACCCTGCCTTTCCTTTTGTCGCTCAAAAGCACTAAACCCTTTTTTGACTCAGGCCTTTTGAACTTGATGTCGCCTCTTCTATCCCTCCTTCAGGTCATTCAAATTTCAGCCGACTGTCACTTTTTCCTGAGTAGCCTTCCCCACCCTAACACTATTCCATTTCCTTCGGAGCACTCATCTAAAACCACTTTGTCTATCTATGGTCTATTCCCACTAGAATGGAAGCTCCCTGATGGGGGCTCCTGGTTGGCCTCCTTTATTATCATGTGTCCAGGGCCTGAAATTGAGTAGACGGCCAACAGTTAATGAATGAAAGAAACTTAGTGGAGAAACAGACATAAAAAATGATCAATACAGAGCAGGAGGCGACTGGCTAAGCAGTGGGTGGGTGTGGGGGACCCGGACGACTTCCTGGAATAGGCGGAGCAGCGCGATCAGTAATGATCAGATAACCGAAGACTGGGAAAATGAAATACGGGTTGCAGTTTCCGCAAGACGTCTCTCCGGGCCTGCGCTGGGCGGCCGATGCCAGCTCGAGGGAACAACCTCTAGAAGAACGCAGGGCCCGCCTGGGTCCAGGCCCGCCCATCCCGCCCTCCTCGTAGGCACCGGCATCGTCAGTCCTGGCCAACTGGCACAGGGAGCTCCGCCTTCCGGGGCCGGAGGGCGGCTTGAGGCGCTCGCTGTCACCCGCCGGAGCCCAGCCCTGCCGCCTCCGCCGCCCCGGAAAAGCCCACTCACTCCTCTTCCGCCATCTTCTCCCCCATCCTGCGGAGCCTCCAAGACCACCGAGTTCAGAGCCACGGGACTAGCAGGGCCCGCTTTTGCTTCCGGCTTCCGCTGGAGGGGCGGGTGCGCGGGCGGCTGGGCGCGTGGGGGGGCGGGGCTTCGGCCGCGCGAGGGCGGCCCTCTGTCTCTTCGTCTCAGTGGCCCGAGGGTGGGAGGAGGTGCGTGGGAGGATCCACCCCCGCTCTGGAGTGACTTTCAGGATGTGTGTCCGGCTTTGGCCACATGATCTTCTGGGCCCCAAAAGATCCTGGCTTTTCCCCACCACAGGGCGGGAACGTTTTGGGGAAACCCCTGCGTGGTCACTGTGACTCACCCTGAGGACAAACACTTTACACCCAGTGCCCACTTCGCTAAGGGTTGGGAAGGAAGGATGCCCCACTGTGCTGAGGGACCCCAGGGGGAAAACTTAATTAGTCTGAGCCTCAGTTTCTCTCAGCTGTAGAGAGTAGTAACCCCCTGGGCTTTGCAGGATTGTTCAGTATTCCATCTGTAAACATTTACGGAGTTCGAACTATATGCCTAGCATTAAAATAGATGCTGATCTAGGGATAGATCATTTGTAATTTGTTCATTGATTCAACAAATACTTAATAGATGTCTTCTATGTGCCTGTGGGGTTGGGGATGCCAGAAGGAACAAGGTGAGGTTGGAGGGCTAGGAGGGACCCCATAGGAGGGCCAGCATCTTACTGTAAGGCCTTTGGATCTGATGGACCTCCCCTGCCGCTACCTGCCTTCCTGATCCAAGCCACTGTATCTCATCTGGATAGTCGCAGCAGTCCCTGAATAGTCTCTATGACTCTGCTGTTGTTCCTGACAGTCTTCCACACCCAGTGTGATCCTTTAAAACTCCAGTCACTTCTCTACTCAGAACCTCCAGTGGCTTCCAGTCTCCATCAGAGAAAAAAACCTTGGAGAACCTACAGGATTCACACCACCCCCTTCTCTTCTCCGAGGAAGAGCTATCCTCCTCCCTCCCCGCCCCCCCTTTCCAAAATCATCACAGTGGCTTCCTGTTGTGCCCCAAATACACCAGGAACATTTCCACCTTTGCACTCACTGATTATTTGTCTAGAATGCTTTCTTCCTAGGTAGCCCTTTGGCTCCTCCTTTCCCACGTTTGTTTAACCCTTTTGTTTTATGGCTTTTGTTTAAGGCTTTTATTTAACTCTTACCTTGTGTGTTAGGCTTCCGTGACCACCCTACTTAAAATCCAAGGCCACCACCTTCTCTGAATTGTTTTTCCACAAGACACCTAAAATATTTGTTTGTTGTCTACTCTCTCTGCAAGAATGGAAATTTCATGAATGCAGAGATTTTTTATTTTGTTTTCCATTGTATCTCCAATGCCTAGAACAGTACCTGGCACATAGTAGACACTCAATAAGTAATTGTTGAATAAATAAATAAATGTATTTGTTAAAAGTAGGTATGTTAGGAAGTCATAGAAGGGTTTGGGATTGAGAAGTGACATGAGCTTTGCTGCTTGTGGACAGTTGCCTGGGGGCAGGAGGGTGAGGATGGAAGCCCCAAGACCAGTTGGGAGGTCTTTGCAATAATCCAGTCAAGAGCTGGTGGCAGTGTGGATGAAGGTGATACCCTGGAGGTAGCAGGAAGGGTTGGACTCTGGGTGCATATTGAAAGCAGGGTTTGCTAATGGTCTATGGCATATAAGAGAGTGGTCAAGGATGATGTCATGGCTTTGGCCCTGAAGAATTGGGTGGAGAAGAGATCTGTCTGGCTCAAACTTTCTTCTTTTAATTTCAAAGTATGATGGGAATACAAATGTTTTTGGTTATATGGATTGCTCTTGTAGTGCTCCAGTTGGGGTTAAAAGTGTGCCCATCACCCAGATAGTGCTCATTGTACCCATCCTCCAAGACTGCTTAGGACTGTTGTCAAAGCTAACTGAGAGAATGTCATTAGGATCTGCCCATGTTTATTGAGTCTTTCCTGTAGGTGTGGCATTGGGCTACCATTTCCTTAATTCCTTACATATCTTTGAGGCAGATGCTCTCATTATCCATAAACAAGCACAAAGAAGTCAAGCCACTTGCCTGCAGTAACACAGCTAGCAAATGATGAAGCTGGCATTCAAACACAGTGCTGCATTTTTAATCAATAGCCCCGTTGTCCTCCACTGCCTTAACTTCTCTGGCTCTAAAATGGGCTGACAGTTTCCTCCTTTAGCACAGAGCCTGGCGGGAATGAAGTGGCCCACAAAGGATTAAGAGCTGGGTTCTCTCTGGCCACACTGGTTAACACTCTTTTACCAGTGCCAATAAATCCCTCCCAGCCAGATTCAGGGAGGCCTGCTCCTCTCTACCCACTGTCCCACCCACTGCCCTTGCCACAGATTCTCCAATCGAGGCCAGGTCAGGGCTTTGTGATGGTCATGAGGCTCCCAACCGTGGCCCCCTCTGGCCCCACCGAGACCTGCCGCCAACCCTGAGTCTATAGAGCACTTGCTGTCAGGCCCGTGGTGAGTCGTGGCTCTTCTAACCTATTCCTGGGAATGAGTCTAAAATTCCAGTCATTGTCCCAGGAAGGCAAATAAAGCCACTCAACATGTAGTTCCTGGGCTCCTGTTCCGTGCCAGGCTGAGAAGAGGCAGCGCAAGTTCTGGTGCCAGGCAGTCCTGGATACCAAGCCCTGCTTGGCACCTACAGGTTATGTGACCCTGAGAAGCCACAGCACCCTTAGAGCCACAGGACCTTATCACATTTTTTGACAGAGCCTCTCTTTAGAAGAGTTAGAGAGAAAGGTCCTGCCTTTGTTCTCTGTCCCCTCTGCCTGGACAGCTTTGCTTTCCTCCTTATCCAGTCTTCCTCCTCCTTGTTATTCAGATCTCAGCTTAAATGTCACCTCTTCAGGGAAGCCCTCCCTGACTGCTCAGTCTAAAGAATAGATTGGCAACCTTTTTCTGCAAAGAGTCAGACAGTAAATAGTGTAGGTTTCATGGGCCTTATGATCTTCATAGCAGCAACTCAACTCTGTAGTGTGCAAGTAGCGTAGACGATATACATAAGCATAGCTATGTTCCAGTAAAACTTTTTTTGTTTTTTTGAGACAGAGTCTTGCTCTGTTACCTGGGCTAGAGTGCCACGGCATCAGCCTAGCTCACAGCGACCTCAAACTCCTGGGCTCAAGGGATCCTCTGGGCTCAGCCTCCCGAGTAGCTGGGACTACAGGCATGTGCCACCACACCTGACTAATTTTTTCTATTTTTAGTAGAGACGGGATCTCTCTCTTGCTCAGGCTGGTCTCAAACTCCTGAGCTCAAGCAGTCCTCCCACCTCAGCCTACCAGATTGCTAGTACTAGGATTACAGGCGTGAGTCACTGCACTTTGCCTCTGTAAAGTTGATGGATATTTAAAATTGAATTTCATGTTCTTTTATCTTCTTCTTCTTCTTCTTCTTTTCTTTTTTTTTTTTTTTTTGAGACAGAGTCTTGCTCTGTCACCCTGGCTAGAGTGCAATGGCATGATCATAGCTGACTGCAACCTCAAAATCCTGAGCTCAAGTGATTCTCCTGCCTTAGCCTCCCGAGTAGTTGGGACTGCAGGTGTGTGCCACCAACCTAATTGTTTCTATTTTTGGTAGAGACAGGGGTCTCACTCTTCTTCAGGCTGGCCTCGAACTCCTATGCTCAAACGACTCTTTTGCCTTGGCCTCCCAGAGTCTTCTTTTCTTTTTTAGAGAGAGGGTTTCGCTGTGCTGCTGAGGCTGGAGTACCGTGGCTATTCACAGGCCCAATCCTAATACACTGCAACCTTGAACTCCTGGGCTTAAATGATCCTCCCACCTCGGCTTCCTGAGTAGCTGGGATACAGGCACTTGCCATCACTCCCAGCTTCATATTATTTTTTACATATCATAAAATATTATTCTTCTTTGGATTTTTTTCAACCATTTAAAAATGTAAAGCCATTCTTAGCTCATGGGCCATATGAAAACAGGTGGCAGGCTGGATTTGGCCATGGGCTGTGAATGCAACATAAAGCCTTAAACATAAATAAGTGTCTCTGAAACACTTGTCGCTATCAGTTATTTTTTCCCTTCTTCCTCTCCACCCTCCTTTCCTTTCTTCTTTCCTTCTTCCTTGAGTTTATCACCCATTTATATTTAGCATATAAGCTCCCTAAAAGCAAGGATCTTATCTCTTTCCTGGCTTGCTTCAGTCTTTTTTTTCTTCCAAAGTTTCTCGAACACTTACTTTGTACTAGGCATTATTCAAAGTGCATTATGTTCACTCATTTATTTAATCCTCATAATAACTCTATGAGGTAAGTACTGCTATTAGCCCAATTTTACAGAAACTTGAAGTCTTATTCATCACTATTTTCCCAAAGCTCAGAAAATGCTGAAGCTGTCCATAAAATGGGCCCAAACAAAAACTTTTAAAAGAATTTGATATTTCATACTTTCGTTAAACAGGGAATCAAAGTGGTTCCTATGTATATCATCAGTCAGGGTTCAATCAGAGAAGTAGAACTAGTAGGAGATATACATTAAGAGATTTATGGCAAGGAATTGGCCTAAAACAACACAAATTTATTATTAAATACTTTTAGTTCTGTAGGTTAGAAGTGTCCCTGGGCTAAAGTCAAGGTGTTGGCAGCACTGCATTCCTTCTGGAAGCCCTGTAGGAGAATCCATTTTCTTGCCTTTTCCGGCTGCTAGTGGCTGCCACGTTCCATGGCTTCTGGCCCATTCTCCATCCTTACAGCCAGGGACAGAATCGCCCCACCCTCTGCTTCTGACTCTGACCCTCTTGCCTTCCTCTTTTCTTTATAAGGACCCTTGAGATTATGTTAGAACCACCCAGATAATCAGAATAATCTCCTCATCTCAAAGTCAGCTGATTAGCAACCTAATTCCATCTGCAACCTTAATCCATCCTTGCCATGGAGCGGGACATGTTCACGGCAGCCAGAGATTAGCACACGGACGTCTTTGGAGAGTCATTCTTTCACCCACACATATAGGAAAAATATAAGATCGGTTGGACTTCCCTTCATTTACTTTTGCCATTTAGTATTGTTTCATATTGATTTACACGTGGAAGAGAATGGGCATAATTTCTTCAATGCCTAGGGACTCTTAATGTTTTAATCTAGCCTTGGCCACTTAGCAGGTAGCAGACATTAGAATTTCTAGGCAGAAATTAAA